GTATATATATACACCACATCTTCTTTATCCATTCATCTGTCGATGGACATCTTGGCTCTTTCCACAGTTTGGCTATTGTGGACATTGCTGCTATAAACTTTGGGGTGCATGTACCCCTTCAGGTAAATACATTTGTATCTTTGGGGTAAATACCCAGTAGTGTAATTGCTGGGTCATACAGTAGCTCTATTTTCAACTTTTTGAGGAACCTCCATACTGTTTTCCAGAGTGGCTCCCCCTACTTTTTAATGATCTAAAACATTTCCTCCATTTGGAGAAAGGTCCCTCCTTTGCCATACGACTCAGTCTTGGCTTATCACAGTTCTCTATTCCCTTGATGGCATTGGCTGGCTTAGGGATGGCATACAACCCTAGTTGAACCAATTAGAGTCCTTCTCTGATATTTATATATGGGAGTGGAAGATAAAGAGATGTCTTTTAACATTTTGTTAAGTTGGGATGAAAGAAGCCTACCATGCTTTCTTCTACTTGCTCTAAGGAGGAAGAGGTCTTCAACAGAACAGAAGAAAGCCAACACACAAAGTACAAGTGAGAAATGGGGAAAGACATAGAAGCGTCCTGGTAGTATATTTTAAGTATTTAGAGTTCCTGAGACCAGATCACGAATTTTTCAGTTACACAAGCCAATACATTCCCTTTTTTGCTTTAGTTTGATTTGGGTGTCTATCACTGGCATTTGAAAGAGTTCTGAGTAAAACATATGCCAATCATCAGGTATTTATGGAACTCAACTCTATGGTAGACAACGGAGGAGGAAAAAGAAATGAGACTTTGTGTCTGTTCTGGAGGGCCTCCAGTCTATATGCTTAATAAGTATAATTCCAAATCATTTAGTGATTTAACCAACATTATAAATAGAGTAATCTGGGAGGTAAGTATGTGTCTAGGAATAGGAATAGAAGTTTTTTTTCTTTTTTTAAGATTTTATTTATTTGACAGAGAGAGAGCACAAGCAGGGGAAGCAGCAGCAGGAGAGGGAGAAGCAGGCTCCCTGAGTGGGAAGCCTGACTCAGGTCTCAATCCCAGGACCCCGAGATCATGACCTGAGCCAAAGGCAGACGCTTAACCAACTGAGCCACCTGGGCACCCCAGGAATAGAAGTTTTATCTACTGTAACCAAACAAGGAATAATTCACTATGTTTAGATGTTTTAACTGTGTTGTAGGACGGCAAAGATGTTAACATGCAAATCTACACTTATTCAATGTTAACTCATTAACTATATTGTGAACAACAGTATTAGGCAGTGGGAATGCTAAGTTAAATGAGATGGAGCCTCTGCTCTCACAAACTCAAAGTCTAGGGGAAAAGGCAGAAATTTCAACAACTGTGTGGTAGTGCAATGGATTCCAAAGAAAGACAGTTTTATAGGCAGATCGTGGCTGGAAAGGGTGAGGGCTCTCTTGTAGACCTGGTCCAGGGGCCTCAAGCAAGCTGGCAGTATTTGCTGATGGAGGGCCACTTTGTACAGAATCTGGGTGAAAAGGCAGCACAGTGGCCTTGGAGAAGTATCCACCCATTCTTCTGCATGGTAGGGAGACCATACTGGAGAGCAAGGCCAAGGAAAAGCCCAGGGCAGTGAGGGAGCCTGTTGGCTCTGTGGTCCACAGTCAAATTTGTGCCAGAAGCCAAGAAAATAAAATATCTGTCAAATAAAATATGTTGGTTTCCATCAGACATTAACCAAATATATAATTTAAATTCTGCAGTAACATCTTTTCATGGAAAAAAAAAAAAAAAAAGAAAATAAACCCTAGACAGACTTCATTTTAAGTAGAAAAGGAAGCTCTGGGGAAGGAGGGCCTTGGGCTCTGGCCAGCAGCTTTTCTAGGTGCTGTTCTTTGTGCTCCAGTGAGAGACCCTGTGTGACTGTCCTCCACAATCATGTTAATTCTATCAGTAGTTTCATTTAAAAAAATCACCTTATCAAAGGAGCTGAGAAATACCTTTCTTTTTGCTTCCCATTCTATCTGAAGGACTCTTACTTATACTTTATTTCAGATAGTTCCTCCTTTTTTTTATTTTTGCATCAACTTCACAGCTTTCTGACTTTGTCCTTCTAGGCAGAACTGGTCATTTCCTCCTTAGGGATACCAGTAAGCCTAGAATCCATTGCTGACCTAAAATTTGTCTTTCCTCTGAGACGGTGAGTGGGACTGGTTATTTCTCTCTTGATATATCTTCTGTCTAACACTGGGCCTTATATAGGGGAGGTGTTCTATAAACATCCATTGAGTAAAAGGAAATCCAAGCTCACACCAGAATATAATATTTGTTCTTTTTAAGACAACTTTTATTGTTTTCTTCTAGTAATAATACTATCCAACCATTGTAAAAAATTCAGAAAAGATACCCAAGTTTGAATGGTCTGGTTTTCAAAAGCCTATGAGTACCAATTGAATCTCTATCTTTTTATGCCTTACTTCTAAGGTCCTCGTAGACTCCTTTTCTTCTACCATTAGGAATTCCCTAAAGGGTATATTCTGTGTTTCAGAATAGGCCTGTTGTTGTGTGTTGCCATGGCGAACAGAGATAGGACTCCAATAACCAAGCCAGAACTCAGCTGTTGTCACTGACAGCTTCACGGAAATGCTGCTTCAGGTTGGAACCCTGTTCCCAAGCTGCAGCCTCCAGGATGTCTTGGTGGGAGGAAGGCCAGCACTTGATTTCTCCCTCTCGGTACTGGACATGCTGCCACATCATGCAATGCAGTTGAGAGGGCGGGTAGTTTACCGTGGCATCCCGCGACTGGTTGGTAAGGATATGACATGCATCACACGCGTAGTGAAGAGGTACCATTGTTATATCCCCTTGAAGAATCTGCTTTGTCATTTTAAAGCCCTACATTCCTTCTCTAATGGTGAATTATTTCTCCAGGGCACTATTGTCTGCTCTTTCCAATTACGCTACTCTGAACTCTTCACCATCTCCAGGCATAGATCTATCTCTGTAAGTCTGAATCTCAATAGTGCATAGAACTCAAATTTATACTCCAGATGGTTCCTTAGTCCCCACGTAATAATGCAGAATGGTCCTTTCCCTTTTCCTTCCTTTCTTTCTTTCT